TTGTACCCCAGTCTTATCATTCATCCCCTGTTTGCCATTTGAAATAGGCAGATAAATGGGTACAGTTGTAAGTAAATGGTGGGTTTGTGAGTAAGGGAAAAAGTACAGTGCAAGTCCTGTTTCTTTTCCATACAAATGCTTTTAGTTACATTTCAGTTCTGAGCAGCACATTTTTGAAGTAGAAAAGACTGCATATACACTTAACTGATGGTATTTCATAGGAACACCCTCGGTCTTCTGAAATTAAAATACGAGAGAGGTGTCAAAATTTCATGGCTTAAGAAATCAAAATTACTACATTCTTAATGAAGAAAGACTGTTGTTTAGCTAATGCTATATTTCAGGTATTATCTTATCTCTTCAGTTCTGTTAAGTGTCATTCTCACAGGAAACTCTGCAGTTAGGACTGAAGTGTTCTTGTGAAAGTTTAGAAAGTTTCCAAAATGATAAGTATGCTCTCATCCTTTCTGCCAAGTTTATTTGTAATTAAGAGTGTCCATTTGATGAATAGAAAGGAAGTCCTGGAACTCTGGGTCCAATTTTTAGGGCATTTTGGATCTAGGTGTTAGATTTTATGTGGGAAATTTAGTCAAGCTATTTTACTGTTTTAAAATACTTAGTTCATTGGGTAAAGAAAAAAGAAAGAAGAGGAAGTGAACTTGAATCACTGAAACTAATGATTACTAATGGTATTTGTAAAAGATAAGTAGAGGAAATGAGTAGTAATATGATATTTGGAATGGCTGCAGGTGGCATTCCACAGCCATTAAGGGGTAACTGAGAATGGACTATGACCATGGCAAAGATGCCTTACTTTTTAGACTAATTTTATAGTTCTAATGCTTTATTCCTGAAGCATCAGACTGTTAACCTGACATCTAACTTAAACATGAGCTGTGTTTTACAAGTTTTTGAACAAAATTACATCCATAGTCTTAACTGTATTTTACTCTTACTTTGGGTGACCATCCATCCTAGTTGGCCTGAGGTTGGGAGGTTTCTAGCACCTGGGACTTGGAAAGTTGAAACCAAGAAAATCTCAGGGAAACCTGGACAGCTGGTCACCTTACTTAAATTTCTAAATTAATAGAATAGAGGTAATATTGACATGATTAGAAAAGTATTTAATAATACTATAAATTCTTTACCCTTAAAGTTTAGATAATTGGAACTTGAAAATATTCTTTCAAGAAAGCATTTCTTCTATAGAAAGTTAGCTTGATATTTTTGTTTAATTGCTTTGGAAATTTAAAGGTAAATTGATTTTGATTTTGTGGTCATTTAGAAAAAAAAAAAAGACTTAATTTACCCTTTAGTCAGATAGATAACTCCAACCAGCAAGTTGACATGCTATTAATGAAAATTATAGGAAAGAAATAAATGCTAGGAATCAATTATTAATTTAAAAAAAAGTCTTCGGTGTGGGAATTCTGGTAAGATAGAACATTAATAACCAATGCTTTTTAAAAATACTTAACAAACAGGAAAATCATCATTTTCTTTGCACTTAGTTTTCTGACTTGTGTGATGTTTTTCTTATTAAAAGTAAAGTAAATAGCCCAGTGGTTGTTGCATAAGACTTTCCTTTTTATTTAGCAGTATAATATAAAAGAAGATATCAAGGGTTCTACCCTTGAATTTTTATAATATGATAGAACTTTAAAAAAAATTATCACCATACTTTCAATTTAGAATTTACATTTTTTTCTTTTCTTCCCTTTTTTTTAAAAAATAAGGTTAAACAAAATAATATGATCAGGAATCTAATTACAGACTTAACAGTGTGCTGTGTGCTAATCTTTATTCTGAATTCACTTTAGGTATCAGCCTACTTTTCTGAACAAGGGGGCACTTAAGTTAATTGCTTCATTAGAAACATGCATTTAGTCCTTTCTGATCTGTAAGTACAACTCCTTGGCATAGTTGCAGAAGTTTGAACACCTGCAGCCAAGCAGCTTGAAAAGACCCCGTAACTTAGCTATAAAGGAAAATAAAAGAAGCTCAAGTTCAAAATGGTGTTATCAATGATATAGTGTTGTCACTAACTTGAGCTGACCTAAGAGAGTTGGCTTCTGCACTGCTCCTTATCAGCATCCAAAAGGGCATACAAAATTCTTTGTAAACTAATTTAAAAAGCGTCTTGTTTATTCAGAGGCAACTGTGAATGGTATTTGTTCAGAGTGTAGATCACATCAACTGCATACCAGCCAACAACTTATTTCTCTTCTAAGAAGGAAGCCAAGTATCAAAGGCACAAAGTACTAAAGATAAGCTTCTCAATTCTCAACTGTTCTGAGCTCTCAATAAAGCTACTGATGTACAAATTGGGGTGGGACTCAACTGTTTACATCTGCAGGCTTGTCTTAGCTCCTGGGCTCTGGCTGGGAGAGGTGCTGATACTAGTGCGACCTTTAGTGCCCTTAGAAAATAAAACACGCTTTCTTATGGCCCTAATCGATCAGTCCCTCTCAAGAGGATTCCACCCCTTTCTTCAAGTATTCTTGGGGCAGAAAAATTATGGCTGACTATTCCCATTTACAGGGCTGCTGAAAGCAAAGAGATCATTGGTTTGCTCTTAGGATTCTTGAAAGACCTGGCAAGTCATCCTTTTTCCTATTTTTGTGGTTGGTTCTTAGATATTTTGTCCTTGGTATTTAATGAGGGGGTGACTTCAGTAAGTAGAAGAATGAATTTCATTCAAAAGTCATTCAAATAATATCAGGAAATTAAAACTCAGTTGATACAGAGAAAACATCTGAGGCTACTGAGGCACAAAGTATTTATAGGAGTACCTGAGTGGTCACATTTGGGCTATAAATGTTAAGTGCTTAAACATGACTCACAGCATCCAAAGTTTGAAATCTGAGTTTAGTAAAATAATGGAATCTTTAAAATAATACAATTTAATTTTAGCTTTAAAATAATACAATTTAATTTTAGACCAACCTAGAGTTGGTCAGAAAACTGGAAAATATTTGAAACACAAATAATTCAAAGATGTTATTAAAACTAATCTGATCCCTAAATGTCTTTTTAACATTACTGAGATTAAAGCCCTTTATGTCATTGTGAAAGTAGAATGAAGCATCTGGAATACTGAATTTTAAACTACTTTGTATAATTAGCAGTTTGTCACTCATTTCAAATATGGTGAAAAATAGCAGTGAAACCAATTGCTGTTTTAGAGCAATTCTAAGTGCTGAGATTTCCTTTCGCAAAATTACATTAATTGCTAACAATAGCCATGCTTCTTGAGGCACATTTAAGAAGAAATAACCTGTGCAAGTGTATCTGTGTGTTTGTATATAAATTCTAGAGAGGCAAAAAGTGGCCTTCATAAGTAGTTTCTATTACCCTTCCCACTCCAAAGTTGTGGTTTTGGGGCCTATTAGAATTATGTAAGTCTCTATGTGTCTTTTTCAATGATTGGCATAGAAAAATAGTAATACCCATTTTCCAGCAATTTTCAAATTTAAGGATTATAGAGCATGTGGGTAATTAACTGCATGTTAGGTGTTTTGACTAATTCATTTAAAAGAAAATATTCACAAATGGATAACGCATTTCAGAAGTAAGCATACTGAGGCAAGAAAGACCTCAATGTAGGAAAATTTTTGGCTAAATGAAATATTTAAAAATATATTTTTTCAATGGTTATGATGTAGTCAAACCTACAAATTTACATATTTTTAACACATAAACATGCTTAATTGATGTGGCTACAAGTATGGTTATTTTAAAACTTGGTCTTTTACTGGGAAGATAATAAACAGTCTTCTGAATACACTTTAGGTAGAAGTTAGAATTATTCTTAATTTGCCAATTTGGAAGTATCTTACACTATTAATTTTAGATATTTTCTTTTATTCTGGAAATCGCCCTGCTTCCTTGTGCTTTTTACTGTAAGATAGAATAGCTCTAGCATTCTATAATTAAGCATCCCTCCCACTCCCAGAAGATAGAGATCTGTAGTAAGTTAGTTTTGTTTTGTGAGGAGCTGACAAAGTGAGTTGTTTTTATTTTCATATTCAATTGTGTGAAGAGCTGACAAAGTGAGTTTTTCATATTCAGTTTTTATTTTCATATTCAATTGTTGAGAAAAATAATGTGCTTTATGAAAATGTAATAGTTTTAAATTGAGAAAGCAAATTAAAACTGATTTAAAAATTTGCTTTTGTTAAAACTTAGTAATCAGTTGTCAGTGAAGTGCCAATTAATAATTTGCTTTTGGATTTTTATAGCATATTATATATGCTGGTCATAAAAATTGAAGCAATTTTATACTCTTCTCCCGAATAAAAGATTGAAGAATTTTCTTTAGCTTTTTCAGGATTATCTAGGAAGAGATTCATGCTTTGTGATTAAAGAATAATTCTCTCTAGTTTTTCATCTTTGGAAGTTTGTGCTTTGTTCCTGGTTTTGACTTTTTGTAATGTTTTTTTCTTTGCATGTTTGTAATTTTTAGGGTATTTTGTTATGCATGTTAGCTTCTACAGCTTAAGCATCTCTTAATGAAGTGCACGTGGTCAGGGGATATTCCAGTATTAGAAAAAATATAGTTATTTGCTTTGAACCAAATATGTGTCGTACCACAGTTTGATAAGTTTGAGGTCAATCTGGGCAAGATTCTAGAGTAAATTACCAGAAGAATGGCTTTTGAATTCATAGAAAAAGAACCTCTAATCATTAGAAATGAAAGTGGGATCAGTAAGAAAAGCCTTTACTCTTCATATTGTTGGATATAGTAATTTTTTTCAACATTCAACTAGGGCAACTCATTTGCCATTTACGGGCCTCTGTTTTTCTTATCTGTAAAAATTATAAATCAGTTGAATAGAACTATGATTTACTGAGATTTGTGGTTGGCTAACTGTTACATGGTTTTTTTGTTTTACTTATTTCCTTGGTGCTTTGTGTAGCTGAGAGACCAATATACAAAATATCACTATACGATAGTCACGGTTTCTTACAAAAATATTAATTTTATTTTTTTATAACAGGTGACCAGAAATGGAGAGAAAAGTAAGCAGAATCTGTCTTGCTTCTGAACCTGATGTAATTCATTTTCTACAAGTGGCTTGGGAGAAAACATTAGGATCTGGTTTTGTTATTGCACTTACTGATGGTCAGTCAGCATGGACCGGGACAGGTAATATTCAAAGCAAATTTTTTAAAAGTAAAATTTCGGTAATATGCTGTTCTTCAGTCCCCAGTGACACTTCAGATTGAGGTGTTTCTTTAGTAGATTCTGGGTAAAATTAACATTGCTGTACTTGTTATTGCTGTCTAATTTACATGTAGATTTATAATATTTAATGCCAGTTTCTATAATTAATAGAAGGATAGAGAAATAAGCATGTGCCCTAGAAAATTCTGGTCACTAGTTGAGTCTTGAAACTTGGGGTTGGTCAGGGTTTTTAAATGATCTCTTTTTACAAAACATAAATAGTACTTTATACACGTATTTTTTTTTTTCAGGACCCCAGGGAAATATTGGGAGGCATAGGGAGGTGGGTTGGCTGGGCCAAGGGATTTGTTAGCTTGGTGGAGTGGGGTGGTGGTGATTTTCTTTTTATTTTAGACACTTACATTGTTTGAATTATTTTCTAGTGAACATGTATTATGTTTGTAACAAAAACAAAATAGTGTTAGAGATTTTGTAAACCAAGGTTCAAACCCACATGTGGGATGTTGGCTATTATTTCATGAAATAAACTTTAAATTTTTTGTGTCTTTGGCAGTGATCTTTTAAAAAGTCTAATGGCCCTGAAATTATTTATGGAACATGGCAGTTATAAAGTGAAAATATATAGAATTATGTTTTGCTGATATAGTGAAGTTTTCATAATCTTCTAAAGTATATTTTGAAAGATTTAAAAAACTATTTCTATAGTTATGCAACAGTCCTTTCTATAGTTATGTTGTAAATAATTTTTAGGTAAAATAATTTTGTCATGTTAATTTACATATCATTTATATATTAATTTTGAAATATTTCCCTAAAACTTGTTACTGTAATTATTATATCTTTTAAAATTACATGGTGAAATTTTGTTTCTTTCTTGGATGTTACAAATTCTGTTACACAGTATGGTCAAACTGAGTTTATAATTGCAGGGTTTTTTAAAAAAAACTCTTCTTTTATGACAGAGGGTAAGGAATGCTGATGTAAGTATTAATAAAATAAAGAAATTTCAAGGATAATGTTTGCAGTATGTATTATGGGATCTATTTAAGCTGTAAACTTCTATGTTAAGAGAAACCAGTTGTTGCTTGGTTGTTGCCATGTAGAAGTGGAAGAAAAATTTTCAGTTTAGCTCTCTGTATGCTAGGGTACCCAAGTGGCGGTAGCTCTGTTTTGGGAAGGGGGTGCACAGGGCTGAAGATAATGGCAGAAGGTTAATGCCAGTTGTCTGGAAAGAAGAGCAGTTCCAACCATACAGCCCAGGAGGCAGGTCCTAGGTGAAGTGGTTGCTTGTATGTAAGGAATACTGTATTTATAACTTAGATGTTCCCAGCTGACAAATGGCTTATTGTGTATAATTAGTTCTGATTAGACAGATGACCTTGAGATGCTTTAAGAGCCTTAATTATCAAAAGAAAATACTAAATTCTAATTTAGTTAGTAAACCTCGTTCACGAAAGCAAAGAACAATATTATGTTGTTCGAATTTTTTTTTTTTTTATCGTTAAGGATTGGGAATAAAAGAATACACTGATGAACTCTTAAATCTTGATTTAACCAGAAATTTAAGCTGAGTTTACAGTTATGGAACAATTTGTATATGTCATAAAAAATGTGCTGACAGTTGTTCTTAATATTATCAATATTGTTTCACTAGATTCATTAGGAGCAAGGAATGCATCTGATTTTTCTGTCATTCATTCTTTATAAGTATCTAGACCAGTGCCTGGGACCTACATGTTCAATAGATATTCTTTGGAAGGATGCCTCAAATGTATAAAACTTCCTAGGAAAAAAGAAAGTGAACCATTTTTTTTAGAATTAGCATTTTTTAGAGAAAACTCCAGTTTCATATTTATTTATTATTGGCATTGATCAGAAATATAGTATGCTTTGCCATTTGTTTTTTAGCTAATGAATAGTGAGAGAAAAATGTGTTAGAAAACTTCCATATCCTTTCTGTTGTTAACATTTTGGCTTGCTTACTAACCAGGCTTTCAAACAGAAAATTTTATAGTGCACCATATATAGTTGTTTTATTTTCAAAGACACTAAAGTTTTGAATCTCATAAATGTTTTATATATCTGTCATTATTCATTTCTATTTTCTTGTATACATTTCAGGGACAAAATATCAAACCAAATAATATAATTGTTTCCATGGTTAGTTGAGGTTTATTACATGAATATGATTTGGTTTGGCACTTTATAGAGAAAATAACATGATTAAGAACATTGAAACAATTACATAATTGAAACATGAAAATGGATTTCCTTCCTATACCTCATCCTGTTTTTTTTTGTACAGCTTTTTGATTGCTGCAACCTTCAATTTGGATAATTTTTTTCTCTTTTCATTTGAGTGAAATTAAAAGGATGTGGGGTTCCTTTTAATCTCCCACACACTAAATTCACTGATTTCTTTTCCATTAGTAATGTTTTATCTAATGAATGTTTTGAGGTCTAATTATCATGTGGTCTATCATCACTTCAACATAGAGGGTTGTATCGCAAAGTTAAGTCACAAAATAGGTTAATGATTGATGATTATTATGTGACCTTTATAACTCTTATCAGTCAGCAGTAAGAAACTTAAATCACCCATCTCTGGAGTAGTTCACTGAGAAGTAAACTTTATTAATACATTTATTATCAAGTAATTATATTCATTTATATTTGTTCTAAACATTGATATTTGGTGACCTATATGGAGATTATGTGACAGAGTTCAGGGGAAGAAGGATTTTTAATAAATGCATTAAAGTAGTTCCATGATGTGATACCAACAAGCTCTCTAATGTGATGATAAGGCTGTCTTCAAAGCACCAACACAAACTTAGGCTATGCACAGTCTTTGGTTCATTATACATAAGGAGCCAAAAGAAAAAAAATCTTCATTTCCTTACTTACATCTTTATCTACCCACAAATATTGTTAAAATGATGCTTTCTTGGATCCTATATGTCTGAGAACAATTCCTTGGTTTTTGGTCATGTTGGCCTGCTCACTTTTTATGCTATTATTATGTGGTTCAGCTGTATCCTTGCTGAATTTTATTATTTCCATGGCTTTTATTTCTGGTCACCAAAGTTTTTGGAGCAGTGAATGCTTACAGCTGTGCTTCTTCCAGATGTTCTTAGCACAAAATTCAAAACTGGTGACCACGTTGTTTTTCCAGGCCTGAAGTTCTAAATAGGCAGTCAAAATTTCATATTTACTATTAATGGAAATATTCAAGTAAATTTTATTCTTAATTTTTTCTCACAGTTTTTAAAGGGGAGTATAAATAGAAAATTTTCTTTCATATGTGTTTTTCTCTCAAAAATGAAATATTCCATAATAATAGAACAGCATTCACAGATGGTGTAACATAAGAGAATATCTAAGATGTCAGCACTTGAATTAGGGTACACAAGGCTGGAATTTCTGTTTGTTAAACTTTTGTATACTTGGTGCCTAGAATAGTACCTGGCACATAGTAGATGCTGAGTAAGCATTGTTTTAAATAAGTGAATCAAACCATTAAATGCTATGAAATATTTTCAGATACATATCTTTTCAGTTTAATGAAATTTAGAATGCTTTTCACTGGATGTTTTATCAGTAGGCATACTTTATTTCTTGTGTGTGTGTTTTTTTTTAAGATTTTATTTATTTATTAGGGAGAGATAGGGAGAGAGAGCATGAGCAGCGGGGAGAGGGAGAAGCAGGCTCCCCCCTGAGCAGGGAGCCTGACTCAGGGCCGGTTCCCAGGACCCCAGGATCATGACCTGAGCCAAAGGCAGACGCTTAACCGACTGTGCCAACCCAGGCGTCCTCTTTTGTATTTTCTGTAGTTGCATTAAAGGTGGTTTCTGCAGATTTATTTCCTATTTCTCTATGAAATATTTTCTCTTCTTTGGTATTTATAACTCTTCAGAATTACCCAACACAAAATATGAAATTGTTCCTTAACTAGGAAGCATTAGACTTCTTATTTTTGTTTTTCTTTTTTTTTTTTTTTTTTCAGAAGAGCTAGTAAGGTAACTGAAAGGTCAATAGATTTGATAAATAGATTTGATAGTGGTGATCATCTTAAATATGCATCTGCTTCAGAGAGATACAAAATATATGAAAGAATTTTAGAAGCTGTAAAATCACATAAAAAATATAAAAGTTTTTATTCTTACCTCTTTTTGTCATCTGTGTTGAGATTCATATTTCGCTATCAGAAATGACCAAAAATAGATAATGAAAAACATATGGATATGTTTCAAAATTCTCTTCCTCTTTGCCTGTCATGGGGCTTCCAGACATACTTGATAGGACACAGACCAAAGGTATGAAAATCTGTGTTATATTTTAGGGATTCTTTAGTCAAGCTTTTATTGATTTCTGCAGTATGTCCTACTAGTGTGTTTTTTTAATTCCGTGAAAGGAAATAGTTTTTCCAGTGTCCCATATCTGCCTCACTACAAAACCAAACAACCAAGAAGACCATAAGTATGAATCCGTTTGACCACTTAATCTACTCCATGGCCATAGACCATTATTTGATCTGAGCATCAGTTTTATCATTTGAAACATCTTTCAGTATTATAAGGAATAAAATAGATAAATGTAACATTTAAATATAAAAGTATAGAACCACATGAGTCTTTCATCATTGTACTAGTGGGAATTGACACAGGAAACCACCCAACCACATGCACACATTCCAAACAAATGTTAGATTAAATCTTATAATTTTAAAAGCAAACAGATACATTGCAGCTTTTGGATGTAAGAAAGGGAACCCTCCAGGTGCCATCTATGAAGAAGTATCTGAAAACCAAAGTGGTTAATAGGAACTAAAGTTTAACTTTAGGTTCATGGAATATCTGAATTAGATATATGTCTTAATGACTGTGGTTGTAGTACCTAAGAGGGGTGGAATGTTGAGACGGCAGGCCTCTTAAGGACCTGGAACTGAGCTCTCAATGTAAAGAAAGGAAACTGAAAGCTATCTTGTTAATGAAATCATCATAAAAAAGCAAAACAAAACAAAAACAAAAGACTACTCTCTGGTTTGAAGATGCAGCGTAGAATCAAACTAGTCACTAAGAGCTATGAGTGGATAAAAGTCCAAACAAAAATCAGAACCCTGAGTCTCTGTTATGTAGAGATGAGGGATGGGGGATTTAAGATTGAACTCTTTGCTTCAAGAGTAAAAACCAAGTTAAGAAATTAACCTTCAAAACTGGTGCAGAGCTGTTGAAACCTGTAGAGACTCCAAGAAAGGTAAACTAGCAATCTTGATTCAAGGCCAGCGCTATTGCCCAGAGCAGATGATACTCTGGCTAGGGGAGAGCCTTGTTCAAACATTGCAAAGCATGAAAGGGAAAAAAACAGAATGAGAATGTGTCAGCAGTAGAAATGGAATTAATACTCTAGGGACCATGCATAAAGACTGTCCTGAAAGAGATCTTAAATATGTTTAAAGCCTTCAAATATTTAAAGGAAGGATGTGGCAAGAACAGGATATTATGAAAAAGAAAGAGAATATCAGTCTAGAATTGAGAATATAATTGTTGAAGTAAAAATCTCTGTAGATGAGTAAAGCATCAGCTTTCAGTATACCTAGATGGGAGAACTGGAAGCCGGATCTGTGATATAATGTGTGTCAAACAGGTGACACTCCAATAAATATTAATTCCTTTCTCTTTCGTTCCTCATCACCTACCTTCATCCACCTTCTTTATTTTTTGGCATATAATGAGATGAGAAGAATGAACTCCATTTTTACTTTAATTCAACTCAGCCCATGTGAGTGAGAAATAATCTATTGACTATTTAATCTCTTCAGTAATTGAGGCAAGGAAGAAAGATGTTATAAAATGCTGAACTTATTAATCATTAAGAAATAATTTATTGGCTTTGACCTAGGAGCAGGTATATAAGATGGTAGTTTTTCTAGTAATTTACAATGCATGTATTTCATCTGAGGACAGAGAAAAAAAAATGCAAGGAGTCTAATGTTTTTCAAATGAGATTTGAGACTAATGTGTTTCTCAAAAATTTCTAGTTCAAAGGTATAATTTGACTTAAAAATGTGTGGTATTGGGATTGGTTTTATCTTTTGTTTGAAGTATCTGTTATATAAGTGATAAATTAGTAGCAATAGGTAAATAAATATGTATTCGTGTTTAGAAATTTATTTTTCATGTCGAAACTTTTTATTTATGTTTCCCATAGTTTCTGAGTCAGAGATTTCCCAAGAAGCTGATGACATGGCATTGGAAAAAGAGAAATATGTTGATGAACTGAGAAAAGCATTGGTATTAGGAGGAGGACCAGCTGATGCATACAAATTTGATTTTTCTAGAGAGTCTTGTCATTTCTCCTTTGAGAAAAACCTGAAAGATGTTTCAGTAAGTAAAACTTTCCATTAATATTATAAGTGGTAAAATGTCAGAGCACTTATTGAGGAATTATCTAAGTAACTAGCTTATTATTCCCAGAATACCTGGGAAATAGAAGTGTGAAATGTACTTGGTTTTCAAGTTGGAAGAATGCTTCATTCAACGTTGTTACTCAAGTGCTTCATACTTATGAATTGTGAAAAATAATTATTAGAAAATGTATTGAGTTTTAATGCTTTAAAAATAAGTATTATAGAGACAATTACATGAATAAGCAGTTCTACCAAGTGGGGTCAGAAATTTTAGACCGTTGAGACAGGATTTATTATAATAAGTTTTGGGAAATACTGATTTTAAGAAAGAAGATAATTTATTTACCATTGAATATTTAATAATTATAACTTATTCTCTACTAGTGTATCGAAATTACAAAATGAGATAACTAAGTGTAAGACATATCATTAGGCATTAAAGTATTTTATTTATATGTCAAACTTAGAAATACTAAAATAGAAATAACATTCAACCCAGGCTTTTGAAGGCTTGCATGCTTTATAGACAAGGATATCTGCTACTTGTCCTGTTTAGTTCCTGTACCAGTTCAGATCAAGGTGGGCGGCTTATGTATCAAAAATGTTTATCAAAATGTACTGCTTGTATATTTTGCCCAAGTTTATGGGATAATTAGAGGTTGAATTATTCACTTTTGCCAGTGGTTTATATTCTGATATGAGGTCTTTAGTAGAAGAAAGGGAGGGAAATCTTTAGCACCCTAAGGTTAGAGACAGTATTGACAATTTGTGCTGGAACTAAATTGAGTTTAAAAAAATTCCTTGAAAATGACTCTTTAATTCAGAATGATTAAAGGGATTTCACCAATTACAGAAACATGTAAAGTAACAGATGGAATCATTATTTTGAAATGTATGTTAACCTATAGAGAATAATACAGAGAGACTGGCTTCAGTAATTATTTCTGTTTAGAAGATACATACTTTTTCTACTTACCTGCCAATTTATGTAACTTTCAATATGCTGAGGTCCTTAAAATGATAGTTTAGAATGGGTTAAGAAAGATTTGAACTGGCTGCTGAAATTTGGTTATTTATCACAAAGCATTCTTTCCTATGGCCGAAGCACAATCAGATGATGTTACGTACTCTTAAGACTGCTGAGTGTTTCTTCTAATGTTTTGAAGCAGATCATTGTCAGATTGGGAGTTCTGCCATTTCCCGTTCAACGAGTATTTGTATGTAATGACTAACATTAGGTGGTTTGCTGCATCGGGGTTGGATGGAGTACTTACCATGCTTGGCAGTACATCTGATTTTGCTGCTTTTGTGAGGAACGAACTTCCAAGTATTCATAACCTACGTCTTTTACAGTTGGCTTGGCATGAATCAGCATTAAAAACTGTGACAATTATCCTGAAAGATACTTGCTTACCACCCTGAACATAATCAACTTTATTGAGTCAGAACCACCAACCACCAACCACGAACCACGAACCACGAACCACTCCCTACCTATTAACAGGTTTTCTCAAGAAGTGGAAATAGAATAAGAGATTCCAGTAATACAGAAGTGCATTGGTTCCTTAAAGGATATGTCTTAAAGCACTACACTGCAGTTTAGATAGCTGCCTCCTTATTTATTGTCTATTAAATTTGCTTATGAGAGAAAGAAATGCTATTCTCAGGACAGTTGGACAAGTTTATTTGTGACTTGACTTACTTGAGGGATATTTTTGGATATTTGAATGAAATAAAAGTTCTGCTTTGCGGTGCTGTAGTCTGCCTTATGGATGCAAATGAAAATCACAAGTTCATTTAGCCAAACTGCCATGGGGATCTTCTAGTGCTTCAGGATGTGCTTCTGCAAATTGAATTTCAGAGTGACAATATCTTGTAAATTCGTCTGCTGGCAAAAATATGCAGACAATTAGAAACATGGCAGAATACTTTTTAAGGCTTATAATGCTTTGGGTGACCTAAAAATTTAAAAGGAATTTGTAATCCTTTCCTTGATGACACAGACATCTGATTGTTGCAAAAATGACCTCTTATACTTAGAAAAAAAGAAAAGAATGAATGTAGATTCAATTCAGAAAGTTGTAGTGAATTCTGTTGTTTGTTGACATAAGGTTACTCTCCCATGGCAAAGAATATTCTATGAGTCCTAAGTACATTTACTACCAGATTCATACTCTCAGAATCATGGTTTTAGGCATTTGTTGCCATCAGTTCAAGAAGTTTTATGTTTTTAATTCTGCGTTGGAGATCACTGCATAATTTGAACACTTTGAGTACTCAAGTCATATAAGACTTGGAATTTATATAAAATGTTCTTTTTTAAAAAATTTTTTTTAAGAGGCATCTGGCTGGCTGAGCATGTGAGTCTTGATTTCGGGTTGTGAGTTCAAGCCCCATGTTGGGCGTAGAGCTTACTTAAAAAAAAAAACACCTTTTTAAAAGGAAGTAACTACTCATTTTTGTACTTAAAAAGACCTGAATTGTTGGGAATATCATCTTGTGTTTTATTAGAGTGAAAGAATTGTCAATCCAAAGCAATGAAATATTTAAAATGTATAATGTATATGTTGCACATTTTTTGGAAGGAGCATGTGCATAATTTTCATGAGATTGTTTTTGAGCTCATAACACCCAAAATTTCATTTATGCTCTAATTAGTTTTTCTTTATAGATAACATAGGTTTTTTTAATTTTAGCTTAATTCCCATTGGAATAAGTGTTGAATGACCAGCAAGACATTAACTCTTTTTCTCCATATGGGACAAACCTCTGGGACCCTTCCTGCCCCATCACCAGTGTTCTTCAGTTGGCAGTAGATTATTCTAGATGAAAACACACTCTGGTGCAAGCATTTAGAACTCATTATGTCTTTACTGTAAGTAGTAGCCCCATTCAAGAGATTATTCATATACTTTGTGTCATGGCTTTTTCTCTGCCATTCACAATTCATACTGATTTTGCAGTATATTTTTTGTCATGCAAACAATACATCTTAATAATGTTTTCCTTTTTTGCTTTTATAAGTTGATCTGTTTCTTCAGAAAAAATTATTTATGAGTTACAAAAAAAAGAACACCTAATAATTTTTGGTAAGAATAACCTTGGGCTCATAATTTGCTTGCTCATACCTCTGTTTTCTCATCGCTCAGGTTTTAAAGTGATTTCTTGGGTTCATTCCAGGTCATCTAACATACTAGTCTTATATTTCTAAAAATAGCCCTAATGAAGGAAAGCCATGAATTTTGAAGAACAAATAAACATGATACACACACACACGAGAATTGGCTACAGGTTTCTGTTAGAATTAAAGTCTATTTTCATTTCCTTTTCCTGAGAAACTGGGATACAGTTTAGGCTGAATATTTGACAACTTAAGTACTGTGGAGGCTTATTTTTCTCTGATTTAAAAATCCAAATAAGCAGTCCTGGGTTAATATAATGGCTTTATGATGTTGGAGGTCCAGGCTTCTCTAATAATGTTGCTTTGCCATTTTTAAAAGGCAGTTTTTAATCTCATGGTCCAAGAAGGCTGCTAGCTTCAGTAGGCAACAGGACTGAGTTAAGCAGAGAATAAAGAGCCTGTCCATTTTCTTTAAGGCCATCACCTAAAGTTGCATACATTGCTTTTGCTTACATCCCATTGTCTAGAACTAAGTCACAAAGCTTCACCTAGCTGCAAGGGAATCTTTAGCTGTGTCCTATGCCCAGAAATTTCCATTACTGTGTAAAGAGGGGAAGGAGGGATACTGTAGGACAACTAGCAATCTCTGCATGTTAACGTTTAAGAGAGATTGAAACGTCATTTCGAAGGGTTTACTTTTATTGTTATGGAGGTATTTCTGTAGTATTTTCCATACAAATAATTGTTTCAGTTGTATTTTAGTTACAAAAATGTTGCAAATATAGTGAGGAACAGGCTAGTTTGTATCTTGCTATATTTTGTAACTTATTAAGTAAAAAAAGTGTATTCAAAGTTCAACTTCCCTACAGTAATTGAATTTTCATTCTCAGATGTATAAAAATGAGGTAAAATAAGTTAGCCAAAAGCAGCCAAAGTTGTTTGTAAAAACACTAGTCCAGAATCCTTTATTATTACCATGTGTCCCTGTGTTTTGGGGACTTTGAATTCAAATGGGTATTTCCAGATGAAATATCAGAATTTGAGCATTTATTATGATACTCTGCAAAAGACTTTGTCAAAAATAGTAATGCCTTTCAGATTTGTGGGAGTATGGTTTGCAAATGTGTTGTTTGAAAGCCTGAAAAAAAATAGTATTCTTTATGTCTGTGATAGAAATATTTGTATACATCTGCCATTTTTATATTAAACACTTTATAATTTCCTGACCTCTTTGAAATGTGGGAACTAAATCAGTAATGTAAGTGGTACAGAAATCCTACTCAAAGTATATGCTCTCTAGTTAAGCCATAGGAAAGACATTGGAATTTGTACTTTAAGAAAATTATTAATTTTTAGCTATACTATTTAATCTTTGAGAATTTTTGCTTTTTCTTCATATTGCTCAGCTTTGATTTAAAATGTTTTCTTCTTTTAAAAGAACATCTCAAAGTGATTATATTTTAGTTTTTTAGTTAACCCAGGATGGTGCGGAAAAGAAACAGCTTAAAGACAGAAGTAGAAAATAACATGTAAAAACCATGCTCTAGAAGGACTTTTGAGTGTTAATAATACTAGTTTTTGCTTCTTACCTTTCGGTTAATCTCCTTTGACATGTACTTTCACTTCACCCTGTGGACTTGGCATTGTCACTATTTACACGTGAGGAAACAGATGCTGAAGGCCTAAGCAAGTTCTTAAGGAAAGCAGAGGTATTAAATTAGGATAGAATCTAGGCCTCTGTCTTAAAAATCGAAAACAAAATTTTTTTTTAATTTGTTGAGGTGTAATGTGTAATGTACATATGATAAAATGTACCCTGTGTTAAATACACAGTTTTCATCACTCCAGACAGTTCC